AAAACCAAAGGTACAGTTAGCAGTTCCAGTTCTGGGAGGCCTGGCGCTGAGAAGCGCGCAAAAGTGTAATTTTAATTGACACCTTCAAACTGTTTTTTGAAGGCTGAAAATTTGTAGATAACATTCGAATGCAATGTAACACAAAAATACAACAGACAGAGCAGTATGCAGTATGGGGACACAAAGTACCTGAAATGCGATGTCAAAAAAATTTGTCACTCAAGCTGAAACTTTGCAAGGTAATAATAAAAACAATATAATTATTAATAAAAACAGTCAGACTCGTCGATAATAGAACCCCGTCAATCAGCAGCTGTGAGAATAGTGACAGCGCGCTTATGGGCAGGTCTTTACTCAATATATTAGAGGAAAGGGTGGTAATATGGAACCCTGCTGGTAATACAGGACCCCCCCATAAATAAGGATTTAGAAACGCCATCTATGATTTGTTCACCAAAACGTGATCATTACGTTCCGAAAAGCCCACAGGAAGGTTTCTACCGCCTAGTATTTAACTGTGGTCTATTAATTCGACGTTATGCTTTGGCGTCAAAATCAAATGGTATTTGCCTCTGCTTTTCACAGCCATAAAGCGATTTGTGGTGAATTTATTCGTTGGTTTTGTTCATTAAATCTTGAAAGTGTTGCCTAATATCGAGTTTTGAAAGGTAAGCCTTTGTTTATTTAGATGTTCAAGAAAAAAAAATAAATTGATTATTAGCATGTGCTTTTTTGGAATATGGAACCCCTTGGTTGCTGTTAATATGGAATCTGGGTCCATATTATATACAAGGGTTCCATATTACATGCAGATTTATAATTGACCTGAGTGTATAAATTGGAATGGATTGTTGCAGATTACACTATGCTCCGAAGTTCATTATCCCGAAAGAAAAGGGCAAAAGGAAAACATGGGACAAACAAGCAATGGCCGAAGCTGTGGAAATGGTGCGTTCCAAGAAAATGGGCCTGAAAAAGGCTGTAAAATTGGTGCCAAAAAGGTACCAAAAAGGTGCCAAAAAGGTGCCAAAAAGCACTTTGCAAAGACTAGTTCACGACACCGAATATTCACCCGAACAAGTTGTCGAAAAAAAGTTAGGTAGAAAACCCGTTTTTTTCTACTGAAATTGAACAACAACTAGTCGAATACCTGCTGCTGATGGAAAGCAAATATTTTGGGCTTACCCGCAGAGATGTTAAAGTAATGGCCTATCAATTGGCTGTACGAAACGGAATAAAGCATCCGTTTGGGAATAAAGAAGCAGGTCGTGCTTGGCTGGATCATTTTTTAAATCGTTATAAACAAAGATTGTCTATCCTAACACCAACTGGAACATCGTATGCTCGGGCAAACAGTTTCAATAGAGAATCTGTAGCTAAATTCTTTGATATCCTCGAGATGGAATACGAAAAGAGAAAATATACGGCTGACCGCGTTTTTAACGTTGACGAATCGGGATTGTCTATAGTTCAGACCGAAATACCTAAGGTAGTTGGGTCAAAAGGGAAACGGCAGATCGGTGCGCTGACGGCTGCTGAGAGGGGATCACTAGTGACCACCATTTGTGCTATGAGTGCTTCCGGCATATTTGTTCCCCCTATGCTGATTTTCCCAAGGAAAAATATGACTGAAACTCTGATGAGAGGCGCACCTCTCGGAAGTATTGGAAAATGTCATCCATCTGGTTGGGTGCAAAGCAATTTATTCACTGATTGGTTTAGGCATTTCATAAAATACACGAAACCAACAATAGATGACCCTCTTCTACTTATCCTGGACGGACATTATAGTCATACAAGAAACATGGAAATAATAGAACTAGCTACAGCAAACTACATAACCATAGTATCCCTTCCTCCGCACTCCACCCACAAGCTGCAACCCTTAGATAAGACTTTCATGGGAGCTCTAAAAACCCACTATAGGGAAGACTACTTCCTTGCAATAGAGGAATTTTTACGGATAATGATTTTATAGCAGCTGAGCATGAAGCCGTGATGGCTGAAAGTACTACAGCTCAATCCTATCATACTAGATAAAGTCCGCCAACAACTACACATCTATGCCCTTTCAATATCAGTGAAACTGATCTGGCAGAAGCAGGTTGCAGCTCAGCGCAACCCTCGACAACCTCGAGTAACTCCTTTGTTTCCCCTGTGGTTATTGGGCCGGTACCAAAGTCAAAGAGAAAAATGTCGAATAGAGGACGAAAGGCCACTTCAGTTGCAGTAATTACAAGCTCTCCATATAAAACAGATTTGGAAAATTCGCTGTCTTCGAAACCAGGTAGCACAAAAAACATTTCGAGTCTTCAGTCTCGCGGGTTCAGCACGGATATTGTAAAGACTAGCGGTAAGCGATCAACTTTAAAACAATCTGAGAAAACGGCGCTTCAAGGAGAATTCAAGGAGAATTCAAAGAAAAAGAAAGATTTCGGAATCCTCTGATTCAGATGAATCGGTTTACGATGGCACAGTTACTTCAAGTGATATGGAAAGCTCAGTTGATAACATATCTTCCAGGACAGATGATGATGCTGAGTGCATGTTCTGCTCACAACGATTTTTGGAAGACCGGAAAGGAGAAAAATGGATCCAGTGCCTTATGTGTCAATTATGGGCACATGTTCTGTGTTCTGGTTGTGAAAAAGCCGACTGGGTCTGTGATTTTTGTCAATAAGTTTCGTTTATTTGAATTATTTTTTGTTAGTTTTGCATTTTTGAATATAGTGAATAAATATCGCTAAAATTTTAAATATATCTGGTTTATTATAGGGGGTTCCATATTATCAACTACTTTTTACAGTTAGATAGTTTGTACTATTTTATATTATTAGTTAATTATGAAAAAACTTTAAGCATTATTTAAATTCCAAAAACAAATAATAATTCTAAATATATTAGGCATACATGAGCGATATGTTTGAAAAATAATTGATGATAAATTTTTGAGTTATCGAATATAAACAAACAAGGGTTCCATATTACCACCCTTTCCTCTATATATCGATATTCATCAATAATTTCACGCTTTTCAGCGCCAGGTGTCCCGGAACTGGAACTGCTCTGTACATTTGTTTTTTAACACTAGAATGTAATCGATTTTGAAAATATGAGCTTTCAGAAAACTCTTGTATGTTTTTGCACCCGGCTCTTGGACTGTTGCACTTTGGTGAATATAAAAAGATTAATCAAAAAAGCGTTTAGTTCTCTAAAATTATAATATAGTAATAGACATATTTTAAGTTTTAATTTAAAAAAAAATGCTCTGTGAAGCTGTGTTCTTTCTAAACCTTTTTTATAAGAAATCGGAAAAATCAGAATTCAGAGGGTTCAGAACGTTCGTAAGATCATATGGCCTTACAAAGTATGATCATATATCTTCAAAATCTGCAAAAACAATGCAACTAGCTTAATAGGAATAATCGGAAATGCCTTCTTCTGGGTAACTTCATACATAAAATAACAAATACACCAAACACCTCAACTTTCATAAGAAATAAATTTATACCTAGAAGTTACATATACAGGGTCTTAGAAATAAGTGCAAGTATTTGAACTGGTAGTATATTTCGGCCCCAGGAACACGCCTAGGAGGTATTTTTTACGAAAAATTTTTTTTGAAAATTCGATTGAAGTTTTTTTTAGTTTTAAGTTAAAAAATATAATTTCTTGATAATATGACAACATAGGTAGTAGCTTAAATTTACATGAAAGAAAATCCAGAAAAAATCCAGTGGTTCTCAAAATTTTAGCAAAAAATGATGTTTTTTGGAAATTTTCAAAGTAAAATAACTCGGTTATTTTGGACTTATTTGAAAAACGGTAAAGAGAAAAAATGTTTCTTTTGATCAGGTCTACCATCCCTTAAAATACATGCACTTATTTCTAAGACACCCTGTATAAACCAAAAGATTATCATATAGATAATTTGATAAATTTGATCGTTCTCAGAGCAAAAAAAATATGTCACATTTTTATAGAAATTAAGATAACGATACAACTTTATAGACAAATGTCATTCGAGAAAAAAGAAAGCAATAATACGCTTAGTCCCAGAGATATTACAGCTTGGTTATTTTGCCGTACAAAGGAAAAACCAGAGTAGTTCACGCGTAAATGGCAAAACCTAGAGATGTACTTACGCATGGGCGACAAGCATGCATCTTGCAATGAGTATCATATGTTATAAATGTATGTATTGTAATAAAAACCTACTTAAATATTATTTTTCTTTATACAACAAAAAAATAATAGTTTAGATTTAGGTTTTATACAACCTTTAATTGGACATCCCTGGTTTTCCCGTGTTTTGTTACGCATTTTGACATTTTTATTTCGGTATTTCAGAATATGGCGATAATTCACAATATTAATAATTCAGAATTGGTACTAATATATATTTTTCTAATTACTCAACCAAAAATAACATATTTCTTTAAAAACACTAAATTGCATTTTTCTTGGCTCCAATTAAAATGGACAAAACTGGGTTTTCCCGTGTAGTCTTCAAATGATGTTGTTTTGGAATTTATGGATTTATACGTAAATGAGCCATTCATATGGATGGCCAAACATAATGAACATAGAAATCGTATTGCAGTGTACAGTAAAAGAACTTTAATAGAAAAAAGAATCACTAGCAACGACAATTTCGGGACGACCGGTATCCATCGATGCGACTATACTGTTTACTTGCCAAGGATTTAAACAATGTTTGTGTTGGCGTACTTGTCGAAATGGACACGTCGTGTGAGAACCACACTTGCCGATGTTGTTTACAAAGTGGGGACTGGTGGGGATACTTGCCAAGTACGCAAATATTGGCGTACTTGCCAAGTAGACCAGTCGTGAGAATGCGCCTTAAGTAACGTCAATATTTGGCAAATATAATAATAATAAATATAATATCTTATGTAATGTGAAAAAAATTATCCATGTCCTGTAATGGGAGGGTTTGGTTTGGAGATGTGTGGATAATTTAATTTTACGACACTTACCAGTAACAACAATATTTGTAGAAATTATGGTTGAACCACAAAAATAATTCCACTTCTTACTGCCATTTTCAAACAATCCGGCATACCATGGCCAAAGATTAGGCTTAATCGGCCAACCATGTAAAATCGAAGGAAAAATATTCAAATCAGGTATAACACCACATTCTAAAATTAATGTTATATGCTGATTAATTCTACTAAATTTCTACGGTAAAATAATTAACTACCTAATTACAGTTACTTTTACTAGCAATTCTAAGTAAACTCTACCTATTAAGGTACAATTTTATAACACTTCTTTTGCTTTTTTTAGTTAGTATACATACATACAGCCATTACTCGCTGACGAGTATTCGATACACATCAGAAGATTGTCACGCAAGACGTTTTCTTTCACGAGCTTTTCTGTGACTGAAATGCCTGATACGTGATGTTATCTGCCTACCGCACTCCGGACATTCAAAAATCTCATTGCTTTGTTGCCTCTGTACTTTTTGGTTGTCTCTGTTAACTGAGTTTACAATTCTTCTCCATTCAGTTCTATAGTGAGCTGCTTCTTCCCACTCATTGTACATGTTAATCCCCTTTAAGTTTTCGTGGAAAACGTCCTTGTACCTTTTCAGTTGTCCACCCGGCCTCCTCTTACCGTCTACAAGCTCACCGTAAAGTAAAGATTTTGGTATGCGGTTTTCTTGCATTCTGCACACGTGACCAGCCCATCTTAAACGGGATTTTGTAACCATGATTTCAATACTCTCGCAGTTAGCTTTTTCAAGGACCGATACGTTTGAGACTTGATGGAACCACTGGATTCTTAAGAGTTGTCTAAGGTGTCTCTGTTCCAACTTGTTTAATGAGTTCATGTGTCGGCGGTACGGCACCCAGGTTTCGCTCCCATATAACATGATGGGGATTATAATTGCTAGGTACACTGCAAGTTTCGTTGTTGTACTCAAGTCATGATTGTAGAAAACCCTGTCTTAATTTCCAGAATGCTTTTGAGGCGCTGCTAATCCTGTGCTGAATTTCAGAGTCGATATTGGCCTTTTCCGAAATCAAACTGCCGAGGTAATTGAATTCCGCCACATATTCCAATAGTTCTTCTCCGATTTATATAGTATTGTTGTGATCTTCCGGGGGAGTGCACATTATTTTAGTTTTGTCTATGTTTAGCTTAATGCCCAAAGCCTCGTATGCCCAGGTGTATGTGTTCAATATTTCTTGCAATTGTTGTAACGTGTTTGCAACTAGAGCGCAGTCATCAGCGTATTGAAGTTCTGTGATGAATTTTGTACGTGTTTTTGCCCTGAGTCTTTTTATGTTGAACAGACCGCCGTCGTATCTGTATCTAATGCCCAATCCTCTCTCCTGCAATTTGCTGTCCACTATAATGGAGAGCACTGCCATGAATATATTGAATAGGAGGGGCGCCAAAACACATCCCTGCCTAACTCCTGTATTTGTTAGGAATGGGTCGCTTATCCATGATGTGACACTCTTGACTTGTTGTTGTTATGGAGGCTTTTACATACACTAAGAAATTTGTTGGGTACTCCGAACTTTTTTATAATTACCCAAAGCGCACCTCTGTTCACAGAGTCGAAAGCTTTTGTTAGATCGATGAATGCAACATAAAGTTTAGACTGCTGCTCTTTTACTTTTTCCTGTAGTTGGCGGATGGAAAATATGGAATCGACGGTGCCGCGGTTGGTACGAAAGCCCGTTTGCGATTTTGGAAGGATTTTTTCTATATATGGGTGCAGGCGGTTTGACATTAGTTACAAGTTAGTAACCAGTTAGTATACGTTATTGACCAGTTACTATACGTTATTTTATTAGACATATATTACCTGCTTTACACTTCAAAACTGTTTGGCTCCATGTTCCATTGTCACGACAAACCAATTTCTGTTTAGACTTATTATCAGAACTTAAGTAAAACGTATTACATCTAACCTCAACAGTTGTTCCTACCGGTAAGTATTCATTACAGGGCATTATACTGATTTTTGTACCATATTTGATGTAACACGTTGTTATATAACTGTTATCAAATATATTAGGACAGCTATTGTTCTTTTGAACTAAAATGTAATAAAGGTGAACTAAAACTTTATTTTTTCAAACAAAAACGAGATTTGGTAAGTTATTTGGTTGGCATGTATAACATGAATCGGGACTGATAAACGGATTCAATTAGTTTCGGCCAATGCCTGTTTTACTGGAAATGATTACAACTTTTAAAGTACCCTCCGTATGTTTTGCTTTATTTGATAGAAAATGACATTCTGAAGAGAATACCATATCATATCAATCATGTCATTGTTTTATATCTAATTATATGATGTTTTTTGTAATATTTTATTAGATATCAATTTAAACTTAAACTAAATATTACTCTCACATACACATAGGCATAGAAAAGAAACAGAAGTTTGGATTTATTTTTAGAATCCTTAAAAAGACAATATATTTGTTTTTACTAAACAATAACTTTAATTTTATTTGACCCAGATACAACAAAAAATAACTTATCCACGAATCATTAAAAAAACGAAATAGTTACTGCAATTTTTACAAGTTTTTGTATTTTTTTTTCAAACGGATGGTATTTATAATCATCCTACGCGTCAAAGGGATGATCGCGGCTGATGTTCTAACCATAGGGGGTGAGAGTGATTGGAAAAATGACGAAAGGCTAATACGCCTATAAAACAATGTACATAATTCGTGAGAAGTGAGGTAAAGGCAAATTCGATGAATTTTCAAATACCTAGCGTTAACGTCTAGTAGGTCGGATTCTTTTTTGATTTCGCCAAATTGTCAGTTATGTGTTTTATATGTGAAAAAACTTTTGCCAACCAGTCTTCTCATAATAGACATACATAGTAGCACCGTATATAAAACTGAGAGTATTAAAGACTGTACATAAGGCTCAGTACATAAAGTTGATGAGTTTTATGTACGCTCTCAGCAGAGTATATTGCAGGATTAGATTGATCCCAGGGGTTCAACTTGGGTCCTTTACTTTTAATTAGCAGATGTTAAAGCTAGCCATTATTTATTTTTTGCAGATGATCTCAAAATTTTCGCCACTGTCCACGACTCTGGTGACTATGACAGAATTCAAGAGGATCTGGATAGTATATATCTTCTGGAACGTGTGCAGAGACTGGGAAGAGACTGGAATATATGACTTTAATAATTCTAATAGGAAATTGATAAGTCGATATAGTATGGATACCTTAAAACTAAGGAGTATGACCACAAATATTTTCAAATTAATCAATAATGATGATAATGATGATCAGGATTCTGTAGGTTATTTAATAATCTAGGTTATTTTTCTAAATCTAGGTTATTTTTTAGATGTTGATCTGCCAATCGCTAATACATAACATGGCTAATAACTGTAGGATCAATTGATTTTTCTTTTTTTTGCATTTTCAGATTAAAATGCCAAAGACTACAAAAAATAATACGTATAACAAAAATTATTACACAGAATAAGATATTCAGCTTGTTTTTTCGCTCGAAATCGTCAGGGTGGTCACATGGTCTGAGATTTAGACGCTTCTTTTTCACTGATTTTAACGAGAATTACTGTGATAGAGCTAAGGGGTAAGTCTAAATTAATATAGAGGTATGTAGTTGGTTTCAAAGCGGTGATAGTTTATTTAGCGCCACTTGCCACGAGCTGCTTTGCCTTTAGTGCATGAAATATAATTATAGGTTTGGTTAACATGCCGCCTGAACCGGGGAGGGGGTTGACCGTCCGGGACTTAAATCGTAAGAATATTACGAGTAAATAATTAAGAACACAAAGCAGAAATTTATTAAATTCTTTACATCAATTAACTCCAAGAAATAAGGAGCTTGTTCTAGAAGCAATTAATGAAATACCAAGAGCTGCTAAATATTAATAGATTTAGGAAGAAAAGTATGGGCAGCACGTCTAAGACTTAGAATTTTCAAAGAATGTTATAGGTCCATATGCAATTATCATTTAATCAGCAGAGAAAAATGTAACCGGGCACTCAGATTTGTCAAAGATACTATATCAAATAAAAGTGGAAGGTATAACGAATATCACCAAAAAAAGATTCAATAAGGTAGTAGTAGCTTTCAGTACCTATCAGCAGACAAATAATTTACTTAGAAATAACCAATTACAGCAGAAATCTCTAATAGCATATATTTTACAAAGATTATCTTCTAAAGGCATTATAAGAGATGTAGAACACTTAATTTTGGAAAAGGATGTTGTACAAGAAAGCTATAGTATGAGAGAAATAATTGAGGTCAAAATACTAGATAAAAAATCAGTGAAGGTAAAATAGTTTATAAACCACCATATAGAGTAATGTTATCATTTGAGGGTAAAACTACAAAAAAAAACTTTTTGGACTAAATTATCCACTTCATACATACATAAGGCCTGTTATACAGTGTTACAATTGTTTATGCTATGAACATTCAAAGAACCAATATCGTAATAAAACAAGATGTTACAAATGTGGAAAAGGATATATGATAAAAGACTGTGAAGAGAATTATAAGTGCTACCATTGCAGCCACATCATGAGGCTGCAAAGAGCATAAGAGGCAAAAGAACATAAATACGTTAATGGCAGAGCAGAAGCTTTTGACACAGGACAGATGTGCCCATCTGATAAACAAAAAAATAAAAGAACACAGGGCTATAGAGTTAATATCGAAGAATTTCCAGTACTGTTCTCTCAAAGAGCAAGCACACTACATATGAAAGTAGACAGCGGCGTAGCGTAGTGTAATATGATGGTAGACCATCCTATATATAATATTGTAATATGATGGTGACTTTATAAAAGTATTACAGTAGCGTCAATACAAGGGTATGTAAAAATTCGGATGCCATATGTCCCTAAAAATTCATTTTCTTCACTCGCATTTGAATCTTTTTTTCCGAAAAAATTGGTGAAGTCAGTGATGAACAAAGAGAGAGATTTCGCCAAGGATCTTTTATGATGGGCGATTATTGCTGGTTTTTAAAACGAGAGGATCCGACGTAAGTTATGCAAGGTAAATTATGATTATTAACCATTATTAGCCTACATTAGATATCTGCAGAATAAGACGTATACACAAATATGTGATTCTCTTTTATATTTATCCTTATTTTTAAAATGCAAATAAGGAATCAGATTTATATAATATTTTTTACTCCTTTTATTTTCACTCGTTTTATTTTCATTACTAGTCCTGTTTCATTTACTTCATAAGTCTGATATGTATTTATGTCATTTTTATAAAAATATTTTTGTTGTCTTTTTTTGTTTCCAGGTTTTGTGTAGTAGAATGAACCTTAAAGATTTATTGTGTCCCCCTTTCTAGAGTATATAGTCTACAACTCATCATACACGGGGATCTTTCTGTTGTAGGGGGGACAGAGTATTTCCCATCCTCCGATGGGGAACCGATGACAAGTGGGCATCTACCTCCTACGAGGGTATACATCCTTCCACGGTTGGGGTTTAGCCCTCTGTGTCCTTCACAGTCGAGGAGCTTGTCTACGGCTGAGGTACCTGTGAGGTGGAGGCTGGAGGATCTGCCTCCATTTTCTCCACCTCTTTAAACTGGTAACTCCTTAGACCTGATACCGGTGTTCTCCCGAATCTATAATAGAGGATATATCCCTCTTCCTTTATTACCTCTTTGGATTTGAGGTCAATTACACCGCAAGGGTTAGTCAGTCCACTTTTACAGAGTCCCGCATGTAGAAGTAAGGGAGACAAGAATACAATGGGGTGCCCTCTGGTGCCCTAAGGTTGAAAAAAAAATCATCGGATTCAGGTTTTTGGTGAAGTTGTCTCCTCTTGGTCCGGGCGTTTCCCCCCCCCCCCACACCCTCTGCCCGTGATACATGACCACAAACAGTAGAGGGCCCTGGTATGAAGGACAGGGTAGTCCCATCCGGCATCGTTATACGTCTTGGTGCAATTTCCTGGCCACGACAACAGGGATAAGATAATGAGATGCTCCTTAAACCCAGCCAAAGTGCCAGAGGGGAAACGACAATGTCTGGAGGAAGTATTTTTTAAAGTCTCCCGTTGTTATGTTCCTGTTATCCAGGTATTTAGTTTACTGCCCCTGAACGGTAAGAAAACATTTATTTATTTACAACTTTCTGTAAGTCAATTTATTATTTCTACGTTACTAAGCGTGAGTTACGTGAGTACTGCATATTTATAACTTAAATGATTTATGTTGATACAGTAAAGTTAATATTTTTATCTCTCTTTAGTTGGTTTGATTTACATATTTGCATTGTTTTAAAGTTCAAATATATTTTGAGCAAAAAATTTTCTTGTATTATTTCCTACTAGATAGAATAAAGAAGGCTGAACAAGTGGGCCCCTTTTTAAATTTAATATAACCTGATAGGAAGCACATCCTTAAAAAACGGTAGGCGCCATGCAGAAAATTAGTTCTTTAGGCAGCCACAATGGCATATTCTCTTTCCACGGTTTATCATTGACTCGACAATGCTCTTTAAATGTATTATTTTATTATTCTAACTACTCGCATATATACGAGAGTGTGCACAGAGACGCAAACTCCTAAAAATATAGAAAATTGTGCAGCTGGGTAGTAAAGAAAACTTATTACTGAGCAAGCATTGCAAGAACTATCTGATTTATTTTAACATAGCACCACTTACGTAGCAGCATCCTACAAATAAGTGCAGATTCATCTAAACCATTCAGACAATCGTAGACACCGTCGCAAAGTTTCCATGGAGCAATACATTTGCCATCGATGCATTTATAGTAATTACTTCTACATTCGAAGTTCTTGCAAACAGTTGGGTCCTCATCAACACCATTACGGCATTGCTGTATTCCATCACAAATATACTCGATCGGAATATTTTTTGACGAACATTTAAATATGTTCTCGCTAAAAAAGAAGTTTTTAGAAAGAGAGGTTCATAAATAATGATAATATATGGCGGCAATTTTTTTATTACGTGAATATGTAAAAATATTCTTTTATTTCTGGTTCTGTCCAGTTCAGTGAGAAACAGCAGACATTAATAAACTAACGCAAATTTCCCAAAAATGCTTAAGAATATTTATGTAACCGTGTCATAAATTTGACATTTTCACTTTTTTAGATGTGTTCGTGTTTTTCTATATTAGACGCATCTTTTCAAGAGAAACCACACATGTCCAACCCATATAATGCCTTTAGAGCTGGTTAAAAATATTTATTTATTTGAGAAACCCCACAAGTCCTGAACATGTGGTGTTTCTCAAATAAACGTTTCCAGCAGGCGCTGACCAATGACATGCGTTGCGTGTTGTATAGCAAACTACGCAAATTCAATTTTAGTTTTGACAATGTCGTCGTCCAAGGAGGAAGTTATTCTAAAAAAGCGCCAAAAGGGACTAAAACAAGCTGTTTATAAAAATGAAGTGATTAAAAGTGCACGAGTACAGGGCAAAGAATATCTGAATTATAAAGGCGTCAAAGTAAATCAACGGACAATGGGTGAGCCATGCCGTTAAGATAACTAACCTTATTTTTTGTCGATCAAAATTTCACTATGGACATTTTTCACTTTTAGGTGTAGGTCACGCTGTTTTCTAAAAATTCCCGAAGGTGATCGACTAGAGATTTTTGATAAGTTTATTATTTATTCTCTAAAGATGAAGAATAAACAAGATGCATATTTACAAGCTTTAACTGAGTGTTCACAAATTTCAAGAAAACGACCTATAGTAGGTGAAAATAATGCAAAACCAAAAGGTAAATCATATAAATACTGCGTATCTTACAATTCAGGAAAGTATAGTGTCTGTAAAACCACTTTTGTTAGTATTCAGTGGATCACATTAGATTGCGTTCGACGCCTGGCTAACTTGTCTTTGGGAAAATCCCCTCACGATAGAAGAGGTAAAAATACCCCAGGGAATGCAAAACCAAAAGGGCTAGTCAGGCAAATAGAAGAACATATTCTTTCATTTCCCGTTAAAAACTCACATTATGGCAGCCGTGACTAGCACTACCTTAGTGAAAAATTATATATCAGGAAAATGTATGAATTATTTATCACAAACAATCCCGAATCATCTGTGAAGTACAGCTTTTATCCGAAAGATATTCAAGGAACGTTTTAGCTTGTCTTTCGGTAGACCACAGGTTAATACCTGCTACACCTGTGAGGAATAATAATAAGATTATATTATAATATAATTAGATCCAATCTTATTATCTATAGATAATAAGATTGGATCTAAGGCTCTAAACGTGTAGCTGTGGCAGAGAAAATTGTCCACCAATGAAGAGCGAAAAAATTCTATAGCAAGATGAAGTCCATTCAAGAGTTATGCCAAACAGATTCCACGGTTGGAGCAATTTGCGTTGATTACATGGAAAATCTTACCCTACCTGTTATTCCAGTTCAAGACACATTTTACCTACATCAACTAAGTGTCAATGTTTTCAATATTCATGACCTTAAAAGTGGAACAACTATGTTTTATGTATACCACGAAGGTATGGGAAAAAAGGACCAAATGAGGTTTGTTCCTTTATTATGATTTTATAAACAGGGAAATTCCACCAAACATTCCATATTTCACAGGAAATTCCACCAAACACTTCCATATTTTTTTCGGACCAATGCGGATGTCAAAACAAAATCATTCAGTTATTAGAATCTGCTTAAGCCTTGCAGAATCTAGGACGATTTCAAAGTGTGAATAATATTTCCCCATTAAAGGACTACATGCGCTGTGACAGAGATTTTGCTGTGGTCAAAAAAAACTAACAAAAATGACAGAGTTTTCCTACTAAAAGATTATGTTTTGTTGATTCTCAGTTCAAACACTAAAAAGAATTTTTCAATGTACCTAATGGATGAAGAAAATACAGTGATTAAGGATTATAAAAATTGGTGGCCCGTTTACTACAAAAAAATAAATCTTTGTCTACAGCTTCTTATGGAAGAAGTGTTAAAAGGGAAGATAAGGTTTCTTTTCTGATTTCCAATTTCATGCACTTTAGCTACAACGAGGAGGATAAAGGTGTTGTGACTGCTCGCAACTTTATTGATGGCCTAATAGCATGAATTTAGGTTGGGAACATCTACTGCTGTTAGGTCTTTTCCTACAATCGTCGCATACCTGAATACAAAGGTCCAATAAGTGCAAAAAAAATGTTGAACATTGAAAAGTTTGAGAGGTTCATCGTAGGAAAAGATGAAGAAATTGAACATTTTTACCAGCTAATATTTGAATGGCCAACTGTTGGTGGCGACGATGATGTTATTGAAGATTGAACTTGATTTTTTATTGTATCTCACATTATTTTGACCGAATAAAATATTTAGAAAAAAAAGTTGTCTGTATATTTGAGAAACCCCAAATGTCCACCGCCATTTTTCTTTTTTTACCATAAGACGCGAATATATATTTTTTTGTTTTCTCTAAAAACTTTACAGCAAGTACATTGTATTCCACTTCTCGTGTTTATAGGTTTTCAAGTTGTTACTAAATAAAACAGTTTTTTCAACTTTTCTCAAAATATTGATTTTTGGACATGGGGTTTCTCAAATAAGCGATTCAGATAGGGAAAAATGATATGATTGAAAAAAATCAATTATATGACGTTATTGAACTTTGTGGGACAGTTCTTACTGCTCCCTGCTAGGGTAAGTCCGGTACACAGATGTCCCACCGGGTGAGATGGCCACAGCGTGTAAATTTCTAATCATGTGACTTATCAGTTGCTTCCTGCTAGATACGGCAGTAGTTTACCTACTGCTATTATGGTCTGACATAATTTGAATGTCAATAAAAAAAATAGGCTATTATTATATATGTATATATTATTATATATGTATATATTATTATATATGTATGTTAGATCACAAATAATGCGATTCACTTTTTAAAAAAAACATTTATTTGCTTTAAAACATTTATAATATTTTATTTTATTTTATTTATTAATTTTATTATAATTTAATAAAAAAATTCAAACGGACATAGTCTCGTTCGGCAACTAAACTACTCTCTTTTGATTAACAAAAATAATTAGGTTTTATAATGAAAATATTGATTACATTAACAATAATCGTGAGAACAATTGAATATTATTATGATACGTTCGCGATTTCGCAACGCGCGCCGGACGTGTCGCAATAGGATGTGGCCTGCCGGGTGAACGTACTGGGTGGACCAATATAACAGCTCCCCCTTTAAGAGAAAAGTTAATGCTCTGTATTAACTTTTTAGAGGTCTTCATGTAGCTCGAACTCTTCTTCGGGATTCTGGATATCGTGTGGGTGAATAGCGGTTCCTTTTCTAGGCAAGAAACTGACCAATCTTCTTCGGGTTGGTTTTGGATGTTCTGGCTTAGGTGGAGATGGTCGAACTTCATTGGACTGTCCCATGGTAAGGCAGAGAAGTCTTTTTCTACGGCATTTGCAAAAGACATACAAAGTTATTAGTAAAATTATTATAATTATTGTTGATATGGTAAACCAGGATAGATGTTTCTCAATGAAGGGTTTGTTGATCATCTTGTCCAGTTCATCAGAATATTGATCTAGCTTGTGTTGGGCAATATTCAGGTCATCTAAATCAATCTTGCTTAATTTTAAAGGTTTCAGATCGGGTAGATGAAGCTTTTCTGGAATATGGTTACAGCATGTATACGGAATTCTCACTTTTGATGACTTCTATATGTAACATTTTGGTATGCTTCAGTAGTGTACTTGGCATGCACTCTTGTTATACCAATAAAGGCGGTACATTCTGGTTGAAGCTGCAATAGTGAATTGGTGTTGATTATTTTCGTCACTGTTTCACGTCTACCACATTTAATTGTGATGGGTAATGGATCGGAAAGTGATGTTAACCATAGGTTCTGATCAATCTGCTTGACGTTGTAGCCTTTTGCTAAAAGCAATGAAACTTGACAGGTCATAGGTAGTACTTGAGTTTGCTTGAGCAACTGAGCTTCGCAAATTGCATCACTGTCAATTGGGTAAGGCAATACTTCAGAACAGATCTTCTGGTTTCTGGTAAGAGATTTACAAGTCTTCAGGTCTTGAAGGGTGACGTATAACATTGAATCATCATCTCGCGCAATGTATGTTTGTGTTGTTGGTACTATATGGAAAACCTTTGTTCGATTATCTAATATAGGAATTGGATATAAACGATATAGAGTATAAGATTCTGGTTCTATTAAAGGTACTTTCAAAACAAATACTATTCTGAGGTCTGTCTGAAAAGCATCTAACTCAATTATATCAATGTACTGAGCAACGCTCGAAGAGTAAACAGGAAGAGGAAGGTTATTTTTCCTTAGTGATTGTGAGGCTTGTTGTAAGGCAGATATTAAATCTTTAGGTGTTATTATGGAGCTATGAAGTATATTTAATCGAGCAAAAGCAACAGCGTTTAAAGCATCGTTTAGATAGTTTTCTACAAAAGCATAACTTTCCATTAAAAATTCACATATTTCTAGTGTTTTGATTTGTGCTTGATAAAATGCGAGATCATCAGCAATGTTTGTTATCGATTGATTAATTTCGATTAAATCTCTATTAAAAAGTTTCTTCGTCAATCTGCAATCTTTGAATAGTTGTATTAAAGTTTTTTATTACTGAAGTTGTGACTGAAATTTGGTTCTTAAGTAATGTTTCAATATGTCTTTCGTCTTGAGAAACCTTATTTATACATTCATTAAAGTATTCGCCATCTGAGGCATCTAGGTTACCCGTTATTGATTTCCAAACTGAACCAATACCATTAAATATTCCGCGTCTTTTCCTATAATTAAATTTTTGTGTATCCGCTATTAGCTCAGAATATTTTAAATTCACCGAATTTGAAATTTGATTTAAAAGACTAACATGAGTTTGTATTTCAGATCTAAATGATACCATTCTAGGGGAATTATCCATTGCAAAAGCGTTAATGAGGTCATCCAGTGTTTTATCATTATTTCTAATTGTTTGTTTGATTGGTGATAAGTCTTTGTAAACCAGGAGTGTCCATTTATCGTTTGATATTTTGATTGTTCCCTCTTCGTGGAAGAAGATTCCAAGAGTGTTATTTATAGGTGTTATGGTGTATTGACATAGGGCTACTGAAAACAGCCCAAAAGAATCTGCAAGAAAGAAATTCTTATTCAAAATACGGTTTTAGTCTGTCGAAATTTATTTTTTGAATTTTGTTTAGTACGTGGGTTTAAAATTATAGCAGAGTTTTCAAAAACTTCGGTTATTTCAAATGGACCATTAAATTTATTTTCTGATTTTACTTTTTATTTGAGATTCTTTTACATAAACTTTGTCACCAATTTTATATTCAGGTTTTCAGCTGAGCTGATATTTTTAGGTCGAATCGGACTTTAGACTTTTCTTTTTGTCTTTGAGTTTTTCGCGTGCAATCTTATAATAATGTTCCATACGATTATTAAGGTCTCTTATGTACTTAGATATTAATTTTCTTGGTTATAGAGAGTTTCTGGTGCTCTACTTGCTGTATGACCAAAAATAAGCTCATATGGAGTGAAACCGTGTGTTTTATTTCGAGTATTATTGTAACATATCACGGCATAAGGAAGGACTTTGAAAGGATGTTCATTAGGATTTTCTGCAGAGTTCGCACGTATCATTTCAGCTAAGGTCGCGTGAAATCGTTCTATAGATCCGTTGGACTGAGGGTGATTGACACTAGAAAAGGTTAATTTTATGTCGTATAATTCGCATAAATCTTTCATCAGGGTGTTATCAAATTCACGGCCATAGTCGCAATGTATTCTTAGAGGTGTTCCGTAATGCTGAAAAAAATAATAAAAGTGTATTTACAACTGTTTCTGCCTTTTTGTCGCTTAAGGGATACGCTTGCGTAAATTTTGTTAATTCGTCTCTGATAGTAAAAGCGTAGTTTCTCGTAGGGTATTCAAATATGTCGATGTTAATTCTTTCGAATGGAGTTTTCGGTGTTTCTGTCACGACCAGTGGCGTACTAAGATTTTTCTACATATTTTTACCTTTTGACATATCTCACAGCTTTTAATATATTTTTCTACATCTTTCGGTAAATTTGGCCAATTATATTTTGCTTTAAGTCGTCTGACTGTTTCATTTATGCCTCGGTGTAAATTGTTTTTACCTGTGTGATACTGTTCTAATATAATAGGTATCTCATCTTCGCTCGGTGTCTTGACAGTGTTTTGGCATATTCTTAATTTTATGTCTTTGTCAGCAAAGATATAAGATAGTGTTTCTAAGATAGGTAAATCTAGATTATTTTCTACACAGTAGATGTCAGTTGTGTTAAATTCCTGTTGTCCTTTTAAGAGTACGTAAAATAAGTGTGCTACTACAGTTCCTGGATCAAACGGGATTGGGATAATAAAAAAATATTTTCGTCCCTTTTACCTTTTTACTGGATACTATGTTTAATTTTGATTGGCTAAAGTTGTAGTTTTCTTCAAAATGTCGTCTATTATTTCTTCATGTAATTGTTCTAGTTTATTTTGGCGAAAGAATGTTATTATGTTTTTATTTGATTTATCCAGAAGCTGTGAATTGGAAAATTCCACTTTCGAGTAATCGATTATTGATCTTGTCTTGTACAAGTCTACAAATTTATTGTATTGTCTAGTAGCTTCTTCATCGGTATCGCTATCATCTTCTTGGTGTTCCTCATCTTGATTTTCGGCGTCTTCAATTTCATCTTCATTGGATGCTAGAATATTTATTTTCTTTTGGAGTTTAGCACATTCTTGGAAATGGTTGACTTTAATTCTGGATATTGCATCGGCGTTCTTGTTTATTTTCCAGGCTTATATTCAATTTTGTAGTTATACTCTTCTAACTTTAATCTCCAGCGAGCTAGCCTACTTCCAGGGTCTTTGATTGAGAAGAGCCATGTTAAAGGTCGGTGGTCGGTAACTAACGTAAATTTTCTTCCAAACAAATATGGTCTGAAATGTTTTACAGCCCATACTATCGCTAAGAGTTCCCTCTCGATGGTAGAATATTTCGTCTCCGCAGGGCAAAGGGTTCGCGATGCGAAAGCTATAGGGAGATCTTTACCTACAGGGCCTTGTGATAATACGGCTCCAATGGCAAAAGCACTTTGCGTCCGTGGTGAGTAGAAACGGTTCTTCAAAGTTAGGATAAATGAGTATTGGGTCCGAAATTAGCGTGTTTTTAATTCTTCGAACGCTAATTTACATTCAGTGTCGAAATTGAATGGTATATCTTTTTTAACAGTTTAGTCAATGGTTTGATATCTTCGCAAAATTCGAGATGAATCTGCGGTAGTAGCCTGCTAATCCGAGGAAAGATTTGATTTCCTTGGGATTCTTCGGTTCTGGAAACTTTTGGATGCATTCTATCTTAACTGGATTTGGTTTGACTCCATCTTTCGTTACAATATGTCCGAGATGGCAACTTCTTTTCTCAAGAATTCGCACTTATCGGGCTGGATCTTAAGATTTGCTTTCCTGAGTCGTTTAAAACTTCTTTTTAAGCGCTGCATATGTTCATGGATGGTCGGAGAATAGATGATAATATCGTCCATATATACCAGGCAACGTTCGTTTTGTATTCCTAGGAGAATGTTGTCCATAACCCTCTGGAATGTGGAGGGCATTTTCAGGCCAAATGGCATACGAACAAATTCAGTGGCCATTTTCCACGGAAAAAGCTGTCTTGGGTACGTCTTCTGGCTTGATCTCGATTTGGTGGAAACCTGACGCGAGGTCAAGTGTCGTGAAGTACTGACATCTTCCCAGCTGATCTAGTAAGTCAGAGATATTTGGTAGGGGATATCTGTCATCTACACTGACTTCATTTAGTTTCCTGTAGTCTATGACTACTCTCCATTTCTGCTTTCAGAAGCATCGATCTTTGGGTACTACCCAAACAGGTGATGACCATGGGGATACAGATGGTCGAATTATTCCTTGGTCCAACATTTTTCCAATTTGGTGTTTTACTTCCTCCTTGTGGATTTGGGGATACCTATAGGATTTTGTATAAATAGGTTTTGCGCCCCTTTGTGTCTATGGTATGCTTGATTTCATTTGTGAAAGTTAAATTATCACCTTCGAGGTAAAAAATATGTCAGAGTATTCTAAACAGAGATTGGTTATCATTTCATGCTCTTCTTCGTTGAGATGTTCGGTTCTTAGTTCGTTTTTTAATTGTTTGCGTTCGATCGATTATAGGTGGGTTTTGATTATCAAAGGTGTTTAAATTTAGGATTGGGTTAGGGTTATAAGGTTCTATAGAAATGTCTGAAAAATCTATTATTTTAGAAATACCATTAACATTAGCAACAGAAGTAAAAAATTCTCCGCTACTGTTAACATAAACAAGAGCATTTGGTAATCTGACCTTATCTTTTTTCCTGTGAGTGTAAAATAGCATCAGTGTTAATTAAATTACATTTTAATTTAACAATTTTCTCAGTACGACCGTCAATGGATATCTTATTACATTGTGTCTTACAGCTGTTATTTATTTTATTAGAATTATTTTTTAAAATACGAGGGGTTTCCCGTAAGTTATCATTTACTTTAAATAAAGGAAGTGTATTGAAATTAGTTATTAATTTTTTTGATTTAAGATCTATAATACACTGATAGTGTTCTAGAAAATCTGCGCCTAAAATACCATCAAATTCTATGTCTAAATTGCAAATAAACACTTTATGTGGATCCTTACATGTAAATGGAATCATGGCTGATTCTGTTATCTGTATTTTTTGATCTGTAATGCCTTGTATAATGAGATTTTCGCCATTTCTGTTCGGATAATTTTTTACTGTGTGGTTTTAAATATTGAAATACCTGCACCGGTATCTATGAGTAATTTAAATTTATTAGTAGCGTCATTAATATAATATAGATTTTTCGAATTGACAGTATGGAGTGGAGTTAAGGATAATTGTGTTCTAGGATAATATCTAGGTTGGGATTTTTCTGGTTTAAGTTGAGGGTTTGAATTTCTGTTGGTGGGTCGGTTTGGTGAGGCAGTGTTAGAAAATTTTCGTAATTTTCGGTTTCTTCGAAATAGTCTTCTTCTTGAGGAATATAATCTGTATTTTCATCATAATGGTAATCGTCATAATATATAGGTTGATCATAGTATTCCTGGTTGTAGTTTACATGATGATTTCTTGGTTGATTAGGGTTCTTCTGGATAACAGATGAACGGAAGGGTTGATTTTGATTTACGACAGGTCTTTGTTGGTTTTGAAAATAATTGGGTCTAGGTTGATATGAAGTAGAAGGTTGATTATGAGCTGAAGGTTGAGCTTGAGAAGGGTTAGAATTATTTTGAGGGTAAGAAGCTTGGGGTGTTTGTCTGAAACGACATTGGCTGAACAAGTGTCCAAGTCGGCCACAAAAGTTACATTTAATGCTTGTAGGTATAGGATTCCTACTAGGTTGGGGTTGTTTATGGATTGTTGATCTGATAGGGTTATTCTTATTGGATTCAAAATAGGATAGTTGGAGTTCACGTTTAATTCTACTTTGTGCTTGTAATATATCTCGAGGATTTCCTGAACGAATAATCTGTCCTAAACGGGGTTCTAAACCAGTCAATAGGGTATTTAGGGACATGGTATCGATTAAACTACATTGAGCTAACTTTTGTTCGTTACTTAATTCTAAGGATTTATTAATATTAGCGATCATTTTTGCGTTAAGTGTTTGCAATCTACTAACAAAATTTAGCGGTGATTCATTAGGTAATTGTTTCATTCTTTGGAGATCTTGTATTAAAGATGACAAATCTCTAGAGTCTTTAAAATGCAAGTTTAATAAAGATTTAATCTCGTTGTAACTTAAAGGATTTCTAGAGTTTATTAATTGAGCAGCTTTTCCTCGTAACTTATTTTTTATATGAATCGATAATAAAACCTTTTGTTCAATATTTGCCATACTGTTAGCACAATCACAAGCATAAAGAAAAGTGTTTAAAAGATTTGATCCCCATCAAATTCGGGAATAATTGAAAATATTTCAGATAATTTATAAACTTCAGCGTCTTCATCTCTTTTGCTTTCCGCAGCTTGACTACGTGTTTCAGGCATTTTTATTTAGCTTAATAGACAGAATAAATTTATTTAAATAGTATTTATTTTTAGAAAATAAAGTAATTATGTAAGGTAGTTTATTCACCTTACGGAGAATTCACACTAGTACGGAAGATTTCTATTTAGAAATTTAGAGTTTTATTTTTGTTTTATTTGAAACAAATAGTTTTAATTAGTTTTTTGATTAAAAAAAAATATTTTATACTAATACTTTTGTTTAGATAAAATTAAATATTTTTATATAGATTTTTTTGTAGTTGCTTATTTTCAAAAGATGTTGAGTGAAGAGTAGTAATTTTTTATAATAATAAATAAAATATTTAATATTCCTTTTATAATAGAATATCGAACAATATGGTTCCAACACAAATAAAATAATACGTGATAATTCAATATTACTTACGTTTGTAGAAACATCGGTCTCGTCTGGTTCTATCAATCAGGATGCTGCCAGGGGCGTCACTAGGTGTTCCTTCCACAGCTGACGATAGTGAGGACTCTTCGAGAGTTTCTTTCTTGTTTCTTTCTTCAATTTCTTCAGTTTCTTCCCTGAACTTTTCGTCTCTCGGTTTCTATCGATCTGGTAACTGCCAGGGGTGTCACTAGGTGTTCCTTCCACAGTGTCGATAGTCAGGACTTAGGTTCTTTTTCTTCTTAAGGGATTAGAATCCGCCGTCAACAGTTGGTTTTTCCGCAGAAACGTGTTCTGTCGACGTTTCAGATCCTACACTCGACTGCGCCAATTGTTAGATCACAAATAATGCGATTCACTTTTTAAAAAAACATTTATTTGCTTTAAAACATTTATAATATTTTATTTTATTTTATTTATTAATTTTATTATAATTTAACAAAAAAAATTCAAACGGACATAGTCTCGTTCGGCAACTAAACTACTCTCTTTTGATTAACAAAAATAATTAGGTTTTATAATGAAAATATTGATTACATTAACAATAATCGTGAGAACAATTGAATATTATTATGATACGTTCGCGATTTCGCAACGCGCGCCGGACGTGTCGCAATAGGATGTGGCCTGCCGGGTGAACGTACTGGGTGGACCAATATAACATGTATATATTATTATATATATATTATTATATATATATATTATTATATATATATATATATATATATATATATATATATATATATATATGTATCAGAACTTCAAAAAATTAATCATATCTCGCTGCATTTTAAAACCTTCCTGTGGGGCATCTCACTCATCGTATTGGGAGAGATGCCACATAGAAAGCTGGTAAAGATGCCCTACTAATTCATTTACTAAAAAGTAACTTTTTTTAATCATGTCTACTGAATATAAAATAAAATGTCCCGAAAGCGCTCAGTGGTTTGAAAAATCATTGGCTGCTGCTTGTAAGCCATTAATATCGACCAAATAGGCATAAAAGCATAATGCATGCTTTTGGAATCCCTGCAAGGACTTTGAGACGTAAGGAGGCAAACAACAACACGCATCCTCAACCATCCTCAACTTTTGGATATTAGTTAAAAAACTAAAAAATAACCTTAGATATTTAACCAATATGTATATGTATTTTTTTGTGGGGCATTTCTCCCAAGTTGGAAGGCCATCTCTCCCGCAACGTAGGAAGAGATGGCCAATTTTCTATTTTTTTATTGTTCTCTTACTATTATATATTCTTACTTATTATATTACTATCTTAGACCTATTACGAATTATTATTAAAGATAGTTTAGGATTGCATCATTAGTTTCATTTAAAATTAACTACCAATATGTATTATTAGCCCCAAAAGAAAAGTGGGGCATCTCTACCGGACTTACCCTAAATAAAATGGCTTTAGAGAACATAAACCACAATTATGCGTGCTATATATCAATCACTTGACAACGATATTTACTCACGAAAACAAAACACTGGCCAGTGGCTAGGAAACTAAAAAAGCCGTCCCAACTGAAGTCAGCCCAACTAAAAAAACAACTAAAATGTAAATTTGCCGCTCTTTGCCAGTTATATTCTAGATTATATTTAGGTTGGTATTATTGGCTGTCAGCTGTCACTCGTAAGAAGCTTGAAGGTTGTAAATGAAAGATGGTTGTTTGAAAATTAATAAAGAGTGTAAAATTTATTTTGAAACATCGTGTTCAAACCTTATTGTTCAGGTGTGGGGTAACCAGTAAATCACTAGAAGAAAGGTATTCCAAACGATTTCGGTAGTATTTCGGGAAAAGAAGACCGAAAAGATAGAAAATCGCAGTAGTAGAGGGAGATGGCCGATTCTACGCCAGGTGGAGGTGGAGGAGGAGGAGGAGGAGGAGACGTAAATCAGCTAAGAACATGTAAAATACACTAATAAACAAGAGTAAACAGGTTTGAACCGCTCTGAACCGCTTTTGAACTGCTTTGAACGGATTTGAACAAAAAATGAACAGGTCTGTTGTTTCAAGCTAAAAAACCGTTCAAAGCTGTTCAAAAGCGGTTCAAACTTGTTTATTCTTGTTTATTAGCGTATTTTATATATTCTTAGCTGATTTACGTCTCCTCCTCCTCCACCTCCACCTGGCGTAGAATCGGCCATATCCCTCTACTAATCGCACAGTTGAGGAACCGGCATTTTCCAATGTGGAGTGCGAAGACTTTTGTACGGAGTTTTATGGGTCGGAGCAGCCTAAAGGAGATAAATCACGATCCAAGCAATCTAATAATATGAAAAACGATGCCAAGAAGGAAAAGTAATGAGGTAAACGATACAACTATTTCTCAATTATTAAATACCATTCAAATGATGATTAAGCAAAATAATAAAATGATGGATATGCTTAGTTTAAACAGAAAATGTGAGCCCGTTACAACGGAAAGTGAAGATTTTAAAAACTTCTCTATCATGCCCAATTTATTGAAGACTATATAGGATTTTTCTGGGGAAAATACAGCCACGTTACACCGATGACCAGATTCACCTTTCAAATAGCTAAGTCAAATATTACTGGAGCAGCATATTTCTGGTACTCGGCAGAAAATTGTCAAGGGTTAGATAGGAAGGATAAGTGTTATAAACGCGGTAACGGCGGTCAAAAGAATGCACAGGCGAGATGCACTGTCTGTCTGTGTCTGTAATACATCAGGCCACACCGCCAATAGCGGCAAGTGTAAAACCTTCAAGAAAGCGTTTATGAAGGCAAGGAAAATACAAAGCTTAACATACAAGGACAAAGTTTAAGAGGAGACTCCACGACAAAAGGAGGCACACATACCCTCTCCAAGTGATGTATTTAATGGCAGCGCATTGGAACAGGAACCAGACAAGAGCTAGATGGGTACCAAGTTACACAAAAGCCTTTTCATGGAAGTTATAGTGTGTGTCATATTAAGGCATGGCTATTCAATTGAGAATGTAATGCATATTTTTATTTGTATTAGCAATGATTTTTGTTTATGTTTAATTTTGGTTTTTAAGTATATATATTTATGGATTCTTAAATTTGTGAAATTTATGAATATAAAACAGAATAAATGGCCATAAGTACCAACAATCGGCAAAAAATAAGAAAAAAAACTAACTTGCAAACGCTAACCACAGCAATAATCAATAATGATATAAATTATAATAAGTTGGCTATAAAAGAAATCATAGAAATCAAAAAACATTCGAACGCCGTTAATGACGACCGAAATAGGACAGTTTTACATAATACAACATATTGAATTAAAAAATAAACGCACCAATAAGGAAGTAAAATAAATAAACCATGGTAGGGCACTCTTAATGTAAATATATATTTTAGTTTTTTGTTTACACGCTGCACATTGCTTTGCAAATTTAATACCGTAATTATTTAGGCAAATATAAGTTATTGATAAAAACTCATAACGACTAATGTGCTATGCTAACCTGTAGGTAAGTGCTGATAAATAATGTTTACTATTTTTTTTCATCCTAACATGCTCATTGTCATTCTTCTGATATAGCCTCCTGAGACTCATCGTCCATTTTGTTGACACCCAGTTTTTAATTTTTATTTTCGTTCCTATTAAAACGATAGCCTTAAAACCTGTTATCGATCCTAATGGACATATTTGTGGCGCCATCTACCATCTTTGATAAAACCGCGTGTTATTTGTTATTACAATGATGACGGCGTTTCGACGAGCAACGTATGATGGTAAGTAGTGCTTTAATTGTTATTTATTAACAAATTACCGCAGTTTAGTAGTAAATTATAACGTATTATAGTTTATATATTATATATTATATTTACTATTAATGTTTGTGGGTAAGCTTTATTTCTTATCAGTCGACTTAAATTCCTCGCGGCCTTGATGGACGTGAGGACTATTTTACGGCAATTTAATATTTGGGCATGTCCAATAAAGTGAACATGGAGACTTTTTTAAGACGTTTTTTGTAATTCCAGTGATAGGTATTTGACAAGAAAAAATATTTACTGCCGGGCATTGAGGATTTATTACTTCAACTATTGGAAGATGATTCGACTGACATAGGAGATTTGGGAGGCAGCGAAGAAAATAATGAATTTGACGAGAATGTAGCGGACAATGAAGATACTAATGAACTGGATTTGGATGATCAAGAGGAAAATATGGATACTTTAGAAGAGGACCAAGAAGAAATTATTGAGGTGATAGAAGAAGAAACATCTAGGAATGGTGTACGAAATGAAGAACTGCAAATGGAAAGTGTACAGAACTACAATAGCTGAAAAAAAATGGTAAAAACAAATCTAAAAAATCAAAATTCACCTGGGAAAACTGTGAAGTTTTTTTCTGGAACACATTTTGATGTTCCAGTGAATACAGATAACTCTGAAGATAGGCAAATTTTTTCGGTGTCTGATTATTTTGGCATGTAGGTATTTCGATGATAACAGTTTTCAACAAATCTGCCACTCCACAAATGTAAAATACATGCTACTACACCACAAACCTCTTAATTTAACACTTAAGGAAACTAAACATTTTTTGGAATAACCATTCTGATGTCACTTTTAAAATGTCCTAGCATACGTATGTATTGGGCAAAGACCACAAAAGTTTATGCTATAGCCTCAAAAATTACTAGTGGTAGATTTTTTGTTATTAGAAATCATTTGAAGGTAGTTATTGATGGTGATATTTCAGAAAAATATCGCCAAAAAGATAAGCTTTGGAAAATTAGACTTATCGTGAAGAAAGTTAGAGATACGTGTTTAACCTTACCAAGAGAACTGAAGTCGCGATAGATAAAGAAATGATACCATTCACTGGGGTATGTGGTGTCAAACAATTTGTGCGTGGTAAGCCAAATCCTGAAAGTTAAAAAAGTTTGTATGTGCAACACCATCTGGGTTGATTTTAGATTTTGAAGTATACCAAGGTAAAAATACTTTCCTGGATAATTCTGTAAATCAATTAGGTATAGGTGGTTCAGCAGTCATCAAGCTTATTCAGACATTACAGGAGGGTCTACAAGGACAGATACTTCACCACAATTCCCCTTTTGGAAAAC